TTTTTTGCTTTTTTTTTGCTTTTTGTTCGCTTTCTTTTTGCTTTTTCTTTGCTTTGCTTTGCTTATTTTGGTGTCTGTTGTGCTTTTTGTTTGCTTTTATTGTTGTTGATTTCGCTTTTAAATCCCTTTATTTGGATCGGTTTGCTTTTTCTGACCCTTTTTTTTTGGTTTTTAGATCCTCCTTTTCGCTTTTTTCAAACGCCGTCACAATTTGGTTTGCTTTTTTTTTGCTTTTTGGTTTGCTTTTTTTTTGCTTTTGCCGAACGCCATCAATCGCTTTTTTTTTGGAAAATAAATGATTTCCAAGAATAGATAGAAGTAGCTTGGAGGCACGTCACAACTTATGAGGACCCCCCAGCAACAGGGGCCTTTAAACCCTAAACCCCTAAACCCTAAACCCCTAAACCCTAAACCCCTAAACCCTAAACCCTAAATTCAGCCGAGGAGAGTCACAGAGGCTGCCAATATTGCCGTCGGTGCCCCTAACTGCCCGTCGCTTGCGGCATCGCTTGAATCCGGCGTGAGGTAGACAAAGTGTTGGGGTTTGGGTTCGTATTGGCTCTACCAGCCCTAAACACCTGAACCCCTAAACCCTAAAACCCTAAGAACCTCGAGCTTTGCTGTGAGAGGGCCCAGTTGAGGATTGAGTCTACAATGACTACAACAAGTTTAAGGGTTTAGGGTTTAGAAGGGTTTAAGATTATGGGTTTTCTGTCTGTTAAGGGTTCCTGAGCCATCAGCCTGATACCCTAAGCGCTAAAACGTTTCGGCCCGTAGGGCTTTCGCTTCGGGGTCATCCACGCCTTGTTTTTTTTTGGATCGAAGGGCACCTTCCGATTGAAAAGGCCTCTGCGGCACGAGCACAGCTAGGTTTTGGGGTTTAGGGTTGAGGGTTTAAGCATTCAGGTGTAAGTTGATGCTACCACAGCCGCACAGACGCTTGAAGTGTGAGTAGCTGTGAAGTGGCAGTAGCGGGTAGTGGGGGGGGTTCCTTCATTTTCTGCCAAGAGCCTGTTTCAGCCACGCATGGTAGCAGTGTACAAGCCGGGAGTAAACTCCTAGTTAGAAGTCATTTTACCAAGTTTATCCTGTTGTGAATAAAGCCCTTAACCCATAAACCCTAAACCCTAAACCCCTGAGCCCTAAACCCCCAAACCCCTAAACCCGAAACCCATTTCGCCAGGTTAGTGAGAACCAGCGGAATCTCGCGCGGTGCCCGGTGCAAGTCCGCCACGGAAGGAGCTCTAGAGTTCCAAGTCTTTTCCTTTTGCCTTAGACGCGCACTTCCCTCGACCTTTCCCTAACCCCCCATCCAGGTACCTACTAAAAAGGGTACTAGAGCCCCTAGGGCCCTATATAGTAGGTACCTGGGCGGTTAGGGTTTCGTCACAAAGTAAACGGGTTTAGGGTTCAGGGTTTAGGGTTATAACCCTCCTCACACCGTCAAAAAGTAAACGGGTTTAGGGTTCAGGGTTATAAAACCTCCTCAAACCCTAAGCTCTAAATGGAGGCTTGTAGCTTGCAGCCTCCGCACACCGGTCTCTTGGAGTTCTGGGCGCTTCTAATTCTAGTCTCAGAGTTTGTGGTTGTGAGGCTTCAGTTCCGCTGTCACTCGCAACTAGAGCATTGGCGTTAGAGACAAATATGTCCACTTTACAAACCCTAAACCCTAAACCCTAAACCTAAACCGAGCGCTCTCGTGCTAGGGCTCTAGTACCCTATATAGTAGGTACCTGGGCGGTTAGGGTTACAAACCCTAAACCTACAGCATATATAAGGATCCGAAGATAAGGTACCCCTTATTCTCGGAAGCTCCCATAATAGAACCCTAAACCCTAAACCCTAAACCCTAAACCCTGCGCTCTCGTTCCTAACTTGACCTCAGGCTGGCATTGGTTTCACGGCCGGAGATGAATTGAGTCTGCGCGCCTTTGTGATCTTATGTGTGTGTGGGTGTGTCCCAAAACGGGGACATGGTGAGTATGGTCTAGGGGTTTGGGGTTTTAGGGCTTTCGGGTTTAGGGTTTAGGGCTTTAGGGCTTTAGGGCTTTAGGGTTGTAGGGTTTTAGGGCTTAGGCTGGTGGGAAAGTATAGCATCAGCGACCTTACTTTGATCTTCATCCTACGAGCCTGCTCCGGTGTTTAGGGGGGAAAAAGTTCTTAATAATTAGACTAGGGTTTTGGGGGGTCCTTATTGTAATTATAGTATAATCTACCCGCACACCCTATTCTAATTATGAAGGCCCCTATATGACTATATATTTATATATATGAATTCTTAATTCTTGCTTGGCCAATCCTGGAAGCAGCTGGAAGAGCTTCAATGTCAAGCCCCATCATTCATGCTGCGAACCCGCTAATTTCTGTGGATCCTAAAGATTAGAAAGCTACGGAAATAGGTCCGCTAATGCTCGGATCCAAACAGGAATGACCCAGAATAAGTACAACCTTCCTAGACTCAAAACCTGACATCCAAGCGCTAACCTTTGTGAGCTGGTTTCGTAAGTCAAAACCCCAAAAAGCACCGAAACACACTCGTGCTGGTGAGATCCCTAATTAAACCCTACACCCTAAACCTTAAACTCCTTACTTTATTGGCTTTGTTCTGTTGAACTGTAGGTTCTGTGTTGAGCTCCTGTCAGTAAGGGAAAGGCTGCTTCCATGGCTGCAGGCATGTCTCACTGCGTCCCTACGGCTGCCAGCCCTCCACAAACACACGTAATGTAGGGACCTATACTATGTTGCGGGTTCCTTATTCTAGTTATAGTAGAATGGGCCCCCAAACCCTATTCTAAGTATGAACGCCCCTAGATTAGACCTAGCCATCTTCGGGTCCTGATGAAGGAACTTGCGTGCCTAAACCGTAAACCCTAAACCCTAAACCCCTAAACACTAAACCCTAAACCTGCAGAAGTTGTGAAGGCTTCAGAATGCCGCTAAGCAACAGAACATGAGAGTTCTAGGTAAAGGAACTTCGTTGAAGCTGCCAGGACGCAGAAGCTCATGACCTTGCTATATTATTTAGGGTTTAGGGTTTACAGGGTCTAGGGTTTTAGGGTGTAGGGTTTAGGGTATAGAATCCGATCACGATTCCCAGTAAGACAGTCCAGTGTTGGAGCCAGGTGTTTCCCGGCTGTTTCCTGAACCTTAATTAAACCCAAAAGATGAGCCAGCCTGGTGACCGTGGGCCACGCCCACATCCGCACGAAAACGTGGATCTCCGTTTTCCAAAAAAAAACAGGCAATCTAACTACTGTTGATGACAGAAATCCTGCATTGCCTTAAGGACCCAAGACTAAGGGGATTATGGTTTATGCCCTACTATGCAGGATTTATGTCATCAACCGTAGGTGCTTGAAGGCAAGCCCATGCATGATGAGAGTTGGTTTCCAGAGATTGGGTTTCGGTGCTTTGCAGGTCGCTCCGCAGTGTCATCATTACATGGGTAGTTGTCAAAATTAGGGTCCCTTTTGGGGTACCCTAAATAATAGGTGCCGTATCAAAATAAGGACCCAAAAAGGGACCATAATTTTGACAACCACCCACATGTAATATAGGGGCCTAGATAATTACCAATACTGTTTTGGGTTTGGGGGATTCATCATGATAATTTGGGGGCCTAGAGAATTGAAATACCAGTACTGTTTTGGGTTTTGGGGGGGTCCTTATTCCGACCCTATTCTCATCATTAAGGCCCTAAAATTACTGGCCGGTGTTTAAGCATAT